ATGTGTCCCAGCAGCGGCATCGAGGGCGGGCATGAGGCGAGCACATCGGGCGCATCGCCGCACGAACGCTCTCTCCCACTCCCCACGGTATGCTGGCCCCGTGGCCCCTGGAGAGCCTCCCCCCCCCCCGCAAGGAAAGAATCTCTGTTTATAAGACGGGGAAGATAAGCATTATCTCGCCCACGCCACACTGAACGGCTAAAAAAAAAAATAAAAAAAATAAAAAAAAAATAAATAATAATTAATAATAATAATAATAATAATATAATAATAATAATTCGAACTCGACTGAAAATTCCCTGTTATTGTAATTTCAAATACGTAATATCTAAGCTAATATATGCAATTTATACAATGCATGTTGGGAGTTTCAGACAATAAATTCTTATGTTAGTTTCAAAAAAAAATAATAATAATAATAAATAAATACTTGACTCTAAATTATGCAATGTCAAAAAAAAACAACACTGACCTAAAAATAACCCAATTCACTTTATCATGACATTGTATGCCAAAGTGAAAAGACAAGTGAAGTGGACAGAAACGAAAAAAAAAAATTTGGTTTCAGCTTCAGTGTGTCCGTTCTCTAGACTGATCTTTAAGAAACATTCAGACTATCAAAAAAAAAAACACTGAAAAAAAAAAAGAATGATGCCGAAACCCACAGTCTACAACACATAAACAATAAAAAAACAAACAAACAAACAAACGCATCAATAAATATGCAAATATATCACCTGCAACTCCGCTCTCCATCCCGCTTTCACCAGGCCAAGCCGAGGCGCATCCCCCACGCAAAGACTCTGACCCCACCCCCCTGGCAGTCCCCCCCTCCCCTTCCACCCCCTCCCCTCCCCACCCGCCGCGTCCTCAGAAACCAAAAGGTGTCGCCGACGATAAGGTCGCTCGCTCGCCCGCCCGCCCGCACAACTTGCCGTCTCCCCAAGAAGAAGAAGAAGAAAAAAAAAAAAAAAAAAGGCTAGCCCGATCTCACCAGAACTCCCTGCGACGAGAGAGAACGCCGAAGAGACAGACAGTGATGTGAGAATCGTCTCGTTGGGGAAATTATATATATATATATATATATATATATATATATATATATATATATATATATATATATATATATATAATATATATATATATAGATATATATATAGCTGATACCTCTTTCAACTTGTGTAATAAAACCTTGGGTGAGAATCTTCGGAGAAACTCTTTAGTGGCGGTGCCTGATTTACATGTAACGTGTATGTATGGATGTACACCACACGCCCATACACACACACACACACACACATACATACAAACACACACACCAACACACGCGCACACACACACACACACACACACACACACACACACACACACACACACACACACACAACACCACACACACACACGCACACACACACCCCAACACACACACACACACATACACACCCAACACACACCAACACAAAAACCAAATCAAGCGAAGGAAAGTACTCCAGGCATTCCTCCCCCTCCCCTCCCCCTCCCCCCCGCCCACGCCCACCCCTACCCCCACCCCCTCCCCGTACGGCGAGCACGACCCCCTCCGCCACGACCTCGCCATTGTCTCGCCCGACCCCTTCGCCGTATTCATGCCTCCCCCCCCCATCCCCCCCTCCCCCCGCGGTGAATGACGGAGACGAGGAGAGGGGGGGAGAGGAGGAGGACGAGAAGGAGAAAGGAGGAAGAGAAGGAGAGAGGAAGAGGAAGAAGAAGAAGAGAAGAAGAGAAGGAAAGGAGAGGAGGAGGAGAAGGAAGGAGATAAAGAGAAGAAGAGAAGAGAGGAGGAAGAGAGAAAGGAAAGGAGGAAGAGAAGGAGGAGAAGGAAGAGGAAGAGGAGGCACAAAGGGCACCACCAGGAGCCCTCGCTGCAGGGAGGCACGAGGGTGAGGGCAGGGGCGAGCTGAGGGGGAGGGGGGGGAAGGGAGGGGTCGCTGCTCCCCTTGTGAATAAACAAGTCTCTACGGCCCGGTGCTTATTCCGAGCGAAAGCCGTGTGCAAGTGGAAAGAAGAAAACGGAAGGAAAGCAAGGGAATGGAGAATAGACAAGCGGAAAGAAGAGAAAATATACGAAGAAGACAAGTGGAATGGAGAATAGAAAAACAAGTGGAATGGAGAGTGGAAGAAAAGAAAACAAGTGGAATGAAGAATAGACAAGTGGAATGGAGAGAAAACAAGTGGAAAGAAAAGAAAACAAGTGGAATGGAGAATAGACAAGTGGAATGGAGAGAAGACAAGTGGTAGAAGACAAGTGAATGGAAGAAAACAAGTGGAAAGACCAAGTGGAATGGAGAATAGACAAGTGGAAAGAAGAGAGAAAAGTGGAATGGCGAATACACAAGTGGAAAGAAGAGAAAACATACGGAAGAAAAAAAAAACAAGCGAAAAAAAAAAACGAGAGAAAGAAAGAATAAAACAAACGGAAAGAAGATAAAAACAAGCGAAAACGAGTAGAAAGAAGAATAAAACAAACGGAAAGAAGATAAAAAAAAAAACAAGCAAAAAAAAGTGAAAAGAAAGAATAAAACCAACGGAATAAAGATAAAAAACAAGCGAAAAACGAGTAGAAAGAAAGAACAAAAACAACGGAGAGACAAGTGGGGAAAAAAACAAACAACAGACAACAGGAGGCGCCGCGAGAGGACACCCGTTTACGCCGCCGCGCTCACTTTCCCTCCACGCCAGACAGAGCGCGTGCAGGAGGAGGAGGGAGAGGGAGGGAGAGGGGAAGAAGGTGGAGGAGGAGGAGGAGGAGGAGGAGGAGAAGAAGAGGTGGAAGAGGAGGAGGAGGAGGTGGAAGAAGAAGAAGAAGAAGAAGAAGAAGAAGAAAGAGAGGGGAGGGGGGGAGAGGGAGGAGGAGGAGGAGGAGGAGGAGGAGGAGAGAGGCGGAAGAAGAAGAAGAAGAAGAAGAGAAGGGGAGGAGGTGGTAGTGGTGGTGGAGGAGGAGGGAGGAAGAAGATGAGGAGGAGGAGGGAGGGGAAGAAGGTGGTGGTGGTGGAGGAGGAGGAGGAGGAGGAGGAGGAGGAGGAGGAGGAGGAGGAGAGGAGGAGGAGGAGGAGGAGGAGGAGGAAGAAGGGGGAGGAGGAGGAGGAGGGGAAGAAGGTGGAGGAGGGGAAGAAAGGTGGAGGGGGAGGGTGGAGGAGGAGGGTGGAGGAGATAGAAGGTGGAGGAGGGGAAGAAGGTGAGGAGGGGAAGAAGGTGGAGGAGGGAAGAAGGTGGAGGAGGAGGGGAAGAAGGTGGAGGACGGGGGAAGAAGGAGGGAAGAAGGTGGGAGGGGAGGAGGGGAGAAGGGAGGAGGAGGAAAGAAGGTGGAGGAGGGGAAGAAGGTGGAGGAGGGAAGAAGGTGGAGGAGGAGGGGGAGGTGGAGGAGGAGGGGAAGAAGGTGGAGAAGGGTGGAGGAGGAGGGGAAGAAGGTGGAGGAGGGGGAGGTAGGAGGAGGAGGAGGAGGAGGAGGAGGAGGAGGGGGAGGAGGAGGAGGAGGGAGGAGTGGGGGGAGGAGGAGGAGGAGGAGGAGGGGGGGTAGGAGGAGGAGGAGGAGGAGGAGGTAGAGGAGGAGGAGGAGGAGGAGGAGGAGAGGAGAAGAAGAAAGAAGAAGAAGAAGAAGAAGAAGAAGAAGAAAAGAAGAAGAAGAGGAGGAGGAAGAGGAAATTGGAGAAAACACGTGGAGGAAGAGGAGGAGGAGAACCGTTTACGCCCCCGCCATCACCCTCCACCCCCTCCCCCCGCCCTCCCGAGACACACCCGCGGCGTGCATCGGCATAACTCATAACATGCCGGCGTCGGCCGAGTATGATGAGGGGGAGGGGGGCGTCCCAACGGCGTCTTACGAAGGGCGGCGCGGGACAAATGGCCGAACGGAGGCAATAAAACCCCGATAGGAATAAAGGGAGCGCCGAGGCCGTTACGACAGGCTGGGGGTGGGGGGGGGGGGGGGCAGCCCTTCGAATGACGGACACCTACCGTCCTCCTGGCAGAGAGACGTACCTGCAGGACGATCTCCGAACTCACCTGCAGAGAAAGAAGAGAGAAAAAAAAATCATCAAGAGACCCAAAACTCAGCATCTATATCATGAAACTAAAAATCTATTATGAGACCAAACCTCAGCACTTATATCCTAAAACAAAAACTTATTCATTAGACATAACTCAGCATTTTTATCCTAAAAAAAATAATAATAATAATACTCATGAGACCATCTGCATCGTAAAATAAAACAAAAAATAATTATAGGACCAAACTCAGCAATCTATATTATAAAACTAAAACTTAATCATGAGACCAAACTCAGCATTTATGGCCCTAAAACAAAAACAAAAAATAATAATAATCATGAGACCAAACTCACCATCTGCATCATAAAACAAAAAATTAATTATGGGACCAAACTCAGCATCTCTATTATAAAACTAAAAATTACACCATTAACAACCAAACTCAGCAATTTATGTCCGCAAACAAAACAAAAGTCGGACAATCAGCCAAAAATAACTTGCTTCTGGCGCCATAACGTCGATATCCAACACAATATTTTTTTTGGGGGGCGTCACAGAAAACGGACGCGTTTCAGCCAATCACAAACAAGAAAAGAAATGTGATTGGCGGAATCTCGATTTGCGATTCCATGTTTGTGAATCCCGATGGAAATTGTGTGTGTGTATGTGTGTGTGGTGTGTGTGTGTTGTGTGTGTGTGTGTGTGTGGTGGTGTCTGTGGTGTGTGTGTGTTGTTGTGTGTGTGGTGTGTGTGTGTGTGTGTGTGTGTGCGTGCGTGTGCGCGTGTGGCGGTGTGCGTGTGCGACTTGTGCGTGTGCGTGTGCGTGTGCGTGAGAGGAGAGGAGAGAGAGAGAGAGAGAGAGAGAAGAGGAGAGAGAGAGAGAGAGAGAGAGAGAGAGAGAGAGAGAGGAGAGACAAAACCAGACAAGCAAACAGACAGACAGCCCCTTTAGACAGTGAAAGTGAGAGATAAGAATGCCTAAGGCTACGAGTCAGCCTGTGCATGTGCCTGTGCCAGCGCGTCCTCCATGCGCGGGTGGTGAGTCAGCGCCCCCTCACCACCTCACGCCCGCACCCTCCTGCCGCCCCCCCACCACCTCACGCCCGCACCTCCTGCCGCCCCCTCACCACCTCACGCCCGCACCTCCTGCCGCCCCCACGCCGCACCTCCTGCCGCCCCACACCTCACGCCCGCACCCTGCCCCCGCTCACGCCCCGCACCTCCTGCCGCCCCCTCCACCTCACGCCCCGCACCTCACGCCGCCCCCTCACCACCTCACGCCCGCACCTCCTGCCGCCCCCTCGCCGCGCGTGACCAAGTGGCCTCCCGCCCGGCCATAACCCCCGACACGAAGGCGCTCATGACACTGAATGCCCACTTGCCCAGACACCCGCGCCTGACCCCCCTCCACCACCACCCCCACTCCCCCGGGGGACAGAGAGGACGGAGACAAGGATCGCGCTCTCCTCTCCTCCTCCCTCCCTCCCTCCCTCCCTCTCTCTCACCGCAAGGTCAGCCTCAGGTATTCGTCCACTACTCTCAGCCTTGCCCGCTAATGAGAGTTATTTTTAGGTGACGAGGAGGACGTCCTTCTGCTTTTGTCTTTTGAGCGGGTCTCTCTTCCGCTCGGGATGGCTTCCATCTCCTGTCAATCGCCTCGTCTAAAGCAAAGAATATCCACTACAACAAATGGAATTAAAACTAAATCTCTTTTTTAAAATCTGTATAAGGCAAATTAGAGTTGCACGCGCGGATGTGTACGCTGCTCGCATCGACAAAAACGAACAACAAACAGACAGACAAAAAATCAAACCACGCCTCAGCAATGACACGACCGCATCCTAACATCGACATTCCCACCGATTCCCGGCTTCCGATTCCCGATTCCCACCTCCCGACGGCGCCAACAGGTCTGGGCAGCGCTTCCCGAAAAAATAATGCCTCCAGCGACCCATGACTCAAGACCCACCCGGGACCGCCGCGCGACCTCACACGACCTGGGAAAGACCGGGAGGGTGACTTACGTGGACCCGTGAGGAGGAGGAAGAGAAGGGGGAGGGGAGGAAGGGGAGGAATATAAGAAGGAAGAAGAGGAAGAAGAGAACAAGAAAAGAGGAGGAGGGGAGGGATGGGTGGAAGAAGAGGAGCATGGAATTGGAGGAGGAAGGAAAAGAATAATATTAAGAAGGAGGATGACGAGGAGAGGAGAGGAGAAGAAGTGAAGGAGGAGGATAGAGGATGGAGAGAGGGGTATAATGTTAAGATAGTGAGAAGAAGAGGATGAGGGATAGGAGAAGAGGAAGTAGGAAGTGAGATTTGGGAGGGGTGGTGATAGACAGTGAAGATAAGAGGAGAAAGAAGATTATGAGGAGGAAGGAATAGAGGAGGAAAGAGGGATGGAGTGAGAAGGGAAGAAGTTGGAAGGAGAGGAGGAGGAGGAGGAGGAGGATGTGAGAGAGGTAAAAAAGAATAGAAAAAGAAAAAGAGAAGATAGAAGAGAAAGAAGAAGAAGAAGAAGAAGAGAAAGATAGAAGAGAAGAAGAGAGAAGAAGAAGAACAAGAACAAATGTAAAACAAAGTGAGAGTAGAGAAGAGGTGAGTGGAGAGGGGATGAGGAGGATGAAGGATATTGGTTCATAAGAGGATGAGAGGAATTGGTGAGTGAAGTGAAGGTAATGAGAAGGTGGAGGATTAGATGCTAGATGGAGGAGGAGGAAGTGGGGAGGAGTGAAGAATATAGAAAGAAAGGAATGGAGGAAGGAGAGGAGGTAAAAGAGAAGGGGAATGGGAGTGAAAGATAAGGTAAAGTGAATGTGTCGAGGAATGGAGGAGCGGAGGAGGAGAGCCATAGGAAGACAAGAGCGGAGGAGAGGGGAAGAGGGACAAATGGAGAGGAAGAAAGGAATTGGAAAGGAGAGAGTGAGAGGAGGTAGTTAGGAAATAGAATAAGAAAATGAAGAAGAGGAGAGAAGGAGAAGAGAGAGAAGATGGGAGGAGGAGGAAGTAGAATGGTAGGATAGGAGGAAGGAAGATAGAAGAAGAGGAGAGAGAGAGTAAGGAGAGAGAGAGAGGTGAGAGAAGAATTAAATAAAGAGGAGAAGAAAAAAAAGGAGTGATAGGAATACAAGAAGGAAAGAAGAAAGTAAGAAAGGAAGAGGAAGGATAATGAATAAATAGAAAGTGAGAGGAGGTAAGGAGGAAAAGTGAAGAGAGAAAATAATATAGAAAGAGGAAAGAGGAAAGAAGAAAGGAGGATGGGAAGGAGAGAGATAAATAGAAAAGGAATATGGGTGAGATGAGAGGAGAAGGATCGGAAGAGAAGGAGATAAGAAAGAAAAAGAAATATACAAGCATAAGAAGTAATATGAGAAAAAGAAATAGAACAGAAGATAAGAGACAGAGAAAGGAGGGAAGAGGGAGGGCTATTATTAACGGATGAAGGAGGAGACAAAGAGAAGGGCGGGAAAATGACGGGGTAGAATAGTGATAAGTTATAAGCTTATGGGTCTCATCGCGTAGGGGAGAGAATGGTAGGTGAAGGGCGTGGTCTCAGGAAGAAAGGTGAAGTAGCGGGGGAAGGAAAAAGGGAGGCAATGAAAACAAATGAAGGAAGGAAAATGGCGGAAAGGGGAAAAGGGAGAGGGATAAGGAGATAGATATGAATACTATGAATGGTAAATAAATAAATATTATAAATATATAGATAGATAGATACTTAAGGGAGAGAGGGAATGGATAGGAATGGATGGAAGAGAAAGAGAGAGGAGAAGAGAGGCGGGAGGGCTAAAGAGAGAGACTAAGAGAAGACAGAGAGACTGGGAGGTTTTCTCAAAGCAGACCGGAGAGAGAGAAGAAGACCCGAAGACGAGAGAGGAGAGAGAGGAGAGAGAGAAGAGAGATAGGAGACGCTGGAGCCCGGGAACCCAGTCACTGTTACAGAATTGTAAAATAAGATGCAAAGACGAAAAGAAAAAAGAGAGATAGATAGAGAAGGGAAGAGAAAGAGTAAGATGAGAGCCCCTCCGGCGGATACCGGAGGCTCGGAGAAGGACACATCCACATGTCAGACCACAAGAGCATGAGAGAGTAAATTAACTTTTGCAACCGTAAACCCAGAAACAGACCAGGAATCGACAGACAGTACAGACAAGACAGGTACAAGACAGTACCAGTATTGAAGCGACTAGATTTGTGAGCACATCAACAACACTGAAACCACCTGCGCCGTCTGTCTCTGCGCATACACTCAGCATAAGGCTCCCAGAAAGCCATAACACATTGCGCATCCTGTCATAATACCTGTCTCACTGCTAATTACCTGCGCGTAATACTCAGACCCAATTAGCTCACGCCGGCACCTCGCTGCCTGACTGACGGCCTCTGCATACCCCCGGCGAGCGCTTTATTCAAATCAGGTTTAGCAACATGTAAACGGCGTATCATACTTATAACAGATAGTATAATATTATAAGTATACATGCACACATCCACATCAAAAAATAGATATAGATATAATAAATATATATATAATAGCGTTACCACAAAAGGTAAGAAAGTGAAACAAAAAGAAAATCTGATTACCCCGATGAATAAATAAAAAAATTAAAAAAAAAACTCGAAATTATCATCCATGTAAACTGTTAAAATAAAATAAACGAGAATTATCTATTTTCCATATAATCGACCGCAACGAAATTCTTCCCCGCTAAATAGGTGCTCCGGATAATTTGTGGCGTACCCATACCATCAACCACCACATCATCACCTAATTCCACCACATCACCACCACATTCAACCACCACGCTACATTGCACGACGTCAGAATAGCAAATTACTAGAAAATGAACAAACATTCACGCAATTAGCTGCCCTTATGCATATCTTTCTACTCTATATTCCGGTGTAGTACTACCAATTAATCTATCACGTCGCGTATCTCTGTCTCCCCTATAGTTTCGTATCTGGTTTCAAATACTGGTTCTTGCAATTGTAATTCAAAACGCAATAATCTATATATCGCGTCAAGGTATTGAGTTCCCACCCGTGAAATTCAGATGAAAATTGTCATCATTTCTTACTGAAAGTGATAGAGATGGTGCATTGTTTTCATCAGTTGTTGTTTCTAACTTTATCATCAGTATCTCATATTGCTCTACATCTATCATGATTCAATTCATTATGATCTTTATAGTCATGTATCATCACCACCACCTGATCATTGTACTAACACTATCACTATCTATCATCTATATTATCATCATCATTATCTTTAGAGTCATTATCATCATCACCACCATCATCATTGTTACTAATCACCATCCCATCAACACCATCATCATTACCAGCATTATCACCATTTATTCATCATCACCATTCATATCATCTAATACCACCCCATCACCATCATCACCATCATCCATATCCCTTCTCTCTCTCTCTCACACCACAGCTTACCCACCCCTGCACAGACAACTCTTCGCCAACCCAAAGGAATCTAAAGGAAAATCCAAAACCCACAATCTACTCGTCATGCGCCACCATCAAACCCCTACAACTTTACAGAATCACTGTTCGCGCTATTCGCCATGCCTTCCCCTATACCTCATGGCAAGTCTCGACTACTGCCCGTGTCTTCCGAGCCCCCCCCCCCCCCCCCGCCGCCTGTGCTACCCTCCTCTACTCCCGCCCATGCTTCCTGCTGCAGTCCTATCGATGTCCTTTTAAACCACCCTCTTCTTCCCGAGTCTGGGTCTGCTTCGTCAACTCTGCTGTCTGGCCATGTTCCGTTCCTGCCCCTTCGGCATTCGCACGGAAGTCGTGCCATTCCTACGTCCCCGTCGTCGCCGCCTCCCTCGCCGTTCCTCTGCCTTCCAAGAGCACCACCAACGACGCCCCCTTCGCGCCTCCGCCGCCCCAGCAGCTCCACGCGGGAAAGCAGGAAGTACCTTCCCTCTGCCACGCCTTCGTCGCCCGCAAAGGAGAGCGAACTATGCAAAGTGCGCTCGCTCGCTCCTTGCCTCCATCCCCGGCAGAGAGAGTTCCTAAATCCGTAGGATGTATCGCGGTGAGAGACCCTGTCCCTCGGCGCCCTGAAAACGAACGCTAAACGCGGCAGCAACTTCCTTCTTTCCCCTCACGTTCTAACATCTACAGCGGAGAGGTGTTTTCGCGATCACTTTAGGAGGAGTTTTTTTATCGTGGGGACATCCGGATCTCCCATGCTTCGCTTCAACCAACTGATAACGTTTCCCTCGAAAGAACGTTTCCCTCAACGCTATTCCCATCATGACTACACGACTGAATTTCCTTGGAGAGTCCGTCTCTACCGACCATGAAGAGC